CGCAATCCGATAATTCGCGAGGAGAGAGGCCGTTTCGTCTGGTCCGTGGGCTTTAATAAAAGCAAAAGGTAGGAACGTTTGTCCGCCGTAGGTCGGCGGCTAATATCGTTCCCGCGAATTACATTTCCCTTCCGATTCCGCCGGATGGCGGCCAAGAGAGGGCGAAAAGAACGGGTAACTGCTTGCGTTACGGCCACTTCCGCTCGCGACTCCCATCGCGCGCCGTGTCTAATCTCGCGGGAATACACGGCAGATGTCGCCACCAACGACTTCGCTCGGACTGTATAAGTACTATGCGTGGCTGAAAAGAAGTCACCTGAGAAACTTGTAGGACCGAATCCCCACTAGTCCAACCATTCTAACAGTCATGGCAGAAGTAGAGTAAAGCGCTTACCTTATTGGCAGAACTGATCCCTTCCTATTAGCCCGGTCATAGAACACCACGTGACAAAGAAAGTGAACGAAACAACGAGACAAAGTGAGACAGAAGCAACAAATAGATGCAACAGCGTAGACTCGTCCCAAAAGCATATTAACTTCGGATTCTTCCGATGAACACGTGATTATTTGCAATTACTAATTACTAATTAGCATCTTCATTAACTTTTCATCGCATTGTGCAACAAACGTGCTGTACTATACACATATTTTTTATATTTATGTTGCATCGAGTGATTTTTTTAAACGGTTATCTAGTACGATGCAATTACATAATTAATTTATCGTAAAAAATACATCTTAAATTTTAAATCAATTTTCATAAATGATGTTAATTGTTATTACTTTGTACTCCTTTACTTTATAAATCTTCCAAGCTATTGTCATCTGATTCCTTATCCGACTCACTGCTTTGTATTTCCAATCCTAGGTCTTCAATTGCGTCTTCTATTATTCGAGTGTAAGAATTTTACGGATATCTTACGCCTATGTTAACGTATCGCGTTACCGAACTTGGTGGTAGTAGTTTTAGGAGTGTCGTAGAAGTGTAGGTATTACTAGTGCAATACCCCTCTTGCCCTGCAACCGAACGAGAGGACTTCTTCTCAGCCACGCATAGTAGCTACTGTACGTTACGGAGAAGAAGTCCGCTGAGCAAACGTAGGATCGAATACGATCTTCAGCAACCATTCTAGCACCATTGCAGAAGTAAAGTAAACGCGCTTCCCTTATAGGCAGAAATTATTTATTTCAATTCTTGAAATCCTAGTATAATTGAATGACTTTTGGGGGATGGGTTCTAACCTAATTTTTCAATTCTCGAAACTCTAGTCCGATTAGATAATTTCTTATTTTTGCAATAAACTCTGGATAAATTTTTGAAAACTATATTTTTGGACGATCGATTTCTTCTTTTAGAGATGAGTCCTAACCTAATTTTAAAATTCGAAATGCTCAAATTCGAGTGCTTGCAAGGCCCTGAAAGCTCGGTTTAACCATAAATGATCGATAAAATTAAATGAACATATTTATCAATATTTCCATTGAAATCTTAAAATCTTTAAATATCGAACAAATATTTTTATATAAAATTTATTCAATGGAAATGTTCGAATAATATATGAATTTAGCAACTTAATAATTAATTACTGATTAATTTATGATTAATTTAGCTCTCTAAATTCATAAAGCTCCTATTGTACCCTAACAGGGTACTAACCTATATTAAGACGGTCCTGAGATTCCGCCATTTTGCATTTCGGTTATCGAGATGGGTTGAGGATAGGTTATGGTACATATCGTGAGGTAATACTGCGATTCTGAAGGAATTTGCTGGGCGATGAGCTCGGTTATGCTCTTGCGATGATGATGGTGTATTGTACAGGGTGAAACGGAGGATGATGAGCGAGTGGTTCTGGAAGTATTGGCGAGCTTGGGATATTGTTCCTGATGAAAGAGATCTTTTTCCAGGAAGATGGTTACAGTGATGATAAATTTCGTTATTTGCTGTTTTCAGGGTGTCGTGTCGGATTTATATATAGGGCAACTTGTCTGATCTTAAAAGCTCACCTAACATCTGCATTAGAAAAAGAAATCTAATAAAAGTTACCACTTGTATTCAAAAATAGAAAATCGAATATTTATAAATGTAAAAAAAAATTCATAACATTTCGAAAATTTTAATAACAAAAATTTTACGAAATTATCGTCCTACTTAAAAAATATAAAATGCACTTTAATATATATTTGTTAAAACAAAATTAATCAGAATTGACACGAAAGACATCATTATTTAGAAAACAAAAATATGAAAAATATAAAAATTAAATATAAAAAGATATTAATTTTTTAATCTTTAAATTTCTACAATTTGCAATAAAAAGCACACACAAACACCCTAATTAAAAGAAACTAATAAAATATATCATCACTTTCCAAAAACCAAAATCCAATATATTTTTATAGATAAAAAAAATTCCTAAAATTTCCAAAATTTGTAAGAACACAAAATGTACTCCAATATCTTCATTAAAATAAAACTAAATAAGACGAATATAAAAGATACCATCACTCAGGAAACAAAGGACTCCATACCTACATGAGCAAAAATTCCCAAAATTTTCAAAACCTGCTTCAAAAAAAAAATTGCACAAAATGAAAACCACGTCGTTACATCCACACTTAGGGAAACTAATAAAAAATATCATCACTTTCCAAAAACAAAAAATCCAATATCTCTGCACATACAAAAAAAATTTCTAAAATTTTCAAAATTTGCAAAAACACAAAATATTCCCCAATATCTTCATTAAAATAAAATTAAATAAAACTGATATAAAGAAAACAAATAACTCCATACTTGTACAAGCAAAAATTCCCAAAATCCCCAAAATCTACACCAAAAAAAGAAAAAATTCTCAAAATGAAAACCACGTCGTAACATCTTCACTAAAGGAAACTAATAAAAGATATCTTCACTTTAAATTGTTACATCAGAAAAACAAAAAGTCCAATATCTTTGCATATGCAAGAAAAATTCCTAAAATTTCCAAAATTTGCAAGAATACAAAATATCCCCCAATATCTTCATTAAAATAAAATTACAATAAATAAAACTCATATAAAACATATCATCACTCAAAAAACAAATGATTCCGTACCCATGTATATAAAATCAAAAATTCTCCAAAATTTCCAAAATCTGTACCAAAAAAGAAAAATCGCACAAAACGGAAACCAAGTCGTCACATCCTCATTAAAACAAACCAACGAAAACCATGCTCAAAACCACCAGAGAAAATCCCAGTACCACTCCGGAACAAAAGACTCACGAAACCCGGCGACGAGTGCGCAAATGGTATGAGCGCTGAGAAAAAAAATGGACCAAACACATTTTCCAGCTGGACAATCATCGTGGTCCCTCCCCTCCATCCCCTCCCTCACCCATCGAATTACCAGAATATTTCCTCAAAGCCGAACACCGTCTCGGCCAGGGATGCCCGCCGCTGTCCGCGTATCGGTTTCGTCCACCGGCAAAGCAGAGCTTCCGGGCTCGTAGCCGGCAATTAGTCGGAAAAGTTGCAGAGCTCGGTCGGGGAATTCCTGACCGCAGGCGCAATTAAAAACGCGCGAGGAAATCGGCTGGTTGCGCCGGAAGTTCCGCGACGGAAGAGCAATTCCGGCCTACTCCGCCGGCCTGCGCGAGCCATCCGCTCCACTGTTCCGGGATAATTACATTTTTTCCCTCAAATCCTTCCCTCATTTTCCTTTTTTCCTTGTTTACGTGCGGCCTACTTTTCCAGTTTCGTTTAATATCAACGGGAGTTTGAACCCGTTTAAGGAGCACGGGATTGTGACCCGCTTCGCGATATTAGCGCGGGGGCCTGGGGCCCCGTATGGTGATGGTTGACATAGATTTTTAATGCGTACAGTTGCTCGCAAAATTGAGTGTACATCTATGAGAAATGGCGGAAGAATTAATGTAAATGCACGTATATCAGGATACAATCATGATATATATTTTATTATCTGATAACACCAAAAATACTTTTAAATAAAGTTAAATTTATATTATTTTTGTAATATTTTATATTATTTTCTATTATTTTTAAATGTAATATTATATTATTTTTTAATATTGTGATATATTATATATATTATATTATATTATTTTTTAATATGATAATATATTAGATATATTATATTATATATAGAAGAATTAATATAAATGCACGTATATCAGGGTACAAACACGATATATATTTTATTAATTAATAACACCAAAACCACTTTTGAATAAAGTCAATTTTATATTGTTTTTTTGTATTATTTAAATATTGCAATGTTATATTATTATTTTTATATAAATATT